AAATGATAAAACACAAGTCCATTGAATGCTAAAAACAAACTATTATTTTAATTCTTTAAAATTTATAGCTCTTTGACAAGTATCATGATTAATGATAATTACGAGGTATTGGCTAATTTAGGAAGATAAGGTGTTTTGGGTTAACTTATTTAGTCAAGATCTAGCACTTTCAATTTTCTAGTGTGTATTGATTTTATAAGGTTGTCGTCATAATTTTAGCAGTGTTGTGTGTATCATATAGAAATGTCTCATATGCAAAAAGTTCTTGTGAAGGCTTTGGAGCATGTGACACTTCATAAAATTTTATACAACTTTCATAATCCAGCTACCTTTATGGACTTTCACATTAAACTCACCTTTTGTTTCTTTTCTTTTCTTTTCTTTTTTTCACTCTTTTTTCTTTCTTTTTTTCTTATTCTTTTTATTCCTTTTTTTTCATCATGGATTAATGGTTTTTCAGAAAATCTTTTACGAATAAAAAGATTAAATATGATGGGCCGAATGAAATATGAAGATAAACTCTTTAACTTAGATATTCATGTATGATTAAAAATGAATTTTAAAGCATATAATACAAGTCAAGGCTCACAATTATGAAGAAAGGATAATAAACTGAAGCAAGTGTTTAAGGGTGATCAAACCAATGATTAATACATTCTGATCCCTTTATTTTCTTTTTTGCTAGATTTGAATATGTTTCCACATGTATTTTATTTTCTTTTTGTTTGGATCCCTTTAATTTGGTCATTTTTATGTTTTCACCATAAAGTTTATATATTGCTTCAAATACCTTTAATATGTTATGACCTTTTCGTGAAATTAATTTAGAACTTTGAGCCAATTATCTTTGATCAACCTTGTGATTTTACACTTGAATGAGCATTTCTATATAAACACTCTTTGTATGTCTTCTTGTCTTCTTTATTTGATGAATTTAGTACTTCTATTTGATTTTGTTAGCATTAATTAAGCTTAATTGATCAACCGAAAAAGTGCCAATATGAAGGTGAATTGGCTTTTTGAAACTTTTTGGGTATGTAGAAGAAAGAATGGAAAATTTTGCACAATGATTTATAGTGGTTCAACTTCTAAACCAAGGGTACATCCACTACTTTAGCTCCACACTAAGAATTTTCTAACAAATTCACTAATTTATTCTTTCTTTTTCTAGGCTCAAGAGTAACCTTTACAAAACCCTTAGTTTTTCAATGGCTAAACTAGAACCACTCCCCTTTTACAAAAGTTGAAAGAAGTAAACAAGAAAACCTCACAAAGGTAGGTGTATACAATAATTAAGTTTACAATAAACAAGCAATGAGCTCAAACACTTATGTATAAGAGAAATAAAATAAAAGAGTGAAAGAGCTTTTCTCTTGATCTCTATTGCTTGGATAGGTGTTGTAACCTTCTTCAAGTGACATCAACTTGTTTTTATATGTTGGAATAAGTTTTTAGTCATTTCTAGCCGTTGGGATAATCTGGAGTCGTTTCAAGTCGTTAAAGACTGTTGGGCTCGACCAATATCGGTACTATGGTTTCATGGTATTAATGCCACTGTCTAAAGTAGTATCGGTACCCCGTGAGTATCAGTACCAATTTTGCATTCTGGAATTTGAACAATTTAGAAAACAAACAAGTAGTATCGATACTACTAAGAGAGTATCGATACTTCTCTTACCTTTGGTATAACACCCCAATCATCGGGTCAGTGATAAAAATGTAAGAATTCAAAATTTGTGGTTTGATTAGAATAATTTGAAAGTTAAAGATTAATTGTGGAATTTGAGTATGATTTGATATTAAATTTGAATTAGTAGAGGGGCAGTATGGTCTTTTCTCAATTAAATATTTTTTTTATCTCCTCCCTTAAGAGATAAGCATGTGGTAGAGAAGGGAAAGTCTGGAGCTTAAGTTATCTTCTTTCTTCTTACTCGTGGAAGCCACTTCAAAGGTAAGTTTTTGAAATTTGTTGGTTCCTTCAATTTTTGGGTTGGTGTTAAAAACTTGGGTGTTATATAAGCTTAAGGAAAGCTTGTATAGGATTAAAACAACAAGATGAGTGAATTAGAAATGAGTTTGTAAAATGGGTTTTCAGATGAATTATTGATATGGTGTAGTTTTTGGAGTCTTATAGATAAATTTGACTTGTCAATGATCTAACTAAATAATTAGGAGGATTACAAATGATTAAGAACTTATATGAAATTATGGTATGATTTTGAGATGCAAGAGTTCTAGTGAGAATTAATATGTTTAAGAACAGTGAATGGAGAAAAGTTAGTTGTAATGTATGAAGTTGAGTCTCAAGGCCTAAAGGGGAATAAAAGTAGGAGATTTAGGTATGTTTTGATTGATTTTCGAAATGGAAATGGTAAATTCTGGGCAAGGGTATCAGTACTGGAAGAACAATACTGATACTTCAAGTCTAAATCAATTAAAAATCGAGGATCAGTATCGGTACTAATTGAAGAGGTAACGATACAAAATGGAGAGTAACGATACCAAGAGTAGGTATCGATACCATTTTTCAAATTGAAATTCCAGTATGTCGAAATGGTATCGATACCGAAGGGGGGTATCAATACCATAGAAGGGAAGTATTGGTACTGTAGTGGAAGTACCGATACTATTAAGTATGAAATGAGAAATTAAGTGTTTCTTTCAGCTTAAGTTATTATGATTGGATATAAGTGATTCGAATTTCGATATTTATTTCCGATTATTTTGTGTAGACTTTGAACAAAATTAACTTCCAATCAACTTGACATTATATGTTTTGATCAAAAGTGTTAAGGACTTCGTTTAAGACTTCAGTGAGACAAAGGTGAGTGCAACTTCTTGGTTTTGCATTAGAATTGAGGAAGACCTGCGATAAGCCAACCTCAATGTTTTCGATCGAAAACTTTCCAATTTCTTTTATGTTGTATTTTTGAAATGTTTTATTCAATTTATATTATGTAAGTTATATTGATGATTATGTGTATATGATTATGAAAATGTGACATGTGAACATGTACATATGAAAACACTCAATGTGAAAGTGCATAAGTGAATAAGAGATACTTCGAATAATGAATGACAAATAATTATATGGTTAAAAGCCAATATATATGTATTAGGATTAGAGGTATAGTTGGTATACCAAGAGTCGAGGGTTCTATGTGGTTATTCAGGACAATTATGTGGCACTTCGATGCAAACCTTTGTGACACTTCGGTGCAAACCTATGTGGTCCTTCAGGACAATTATGTGGCACTTCGGTGCAAATTATGTGAGCTGTGGTGACAGCATTAGTGCACAACCTCAATGTACTCAAATACCTAGAGTTCTCAATAGTATACCTTAGGCTTTGAAAACAAAGTTATATAAAACGAATAATGTATAAAAGTATATATTCTTGTTATGGAAAAAAATGTGCATTCCTTATGAAATGTTTTTATGAAATAAATAAAAGATTTTGATTATATAACTTTAGTCGCTCGTAATTGCCTCACTAAGTCATCGACTTAGTGTGTGATTGTTTCACACGTAGGTTTGAAGAAATCAGGAGAGAGAAGCTAGTCGAGGATAGCAAACTCCATTAAAGATCAGATCAAGCCAAATTGAATGTAGGTTTTGTGTAATTTTGTAAACTGTTGGCATGTACTATACGTTTAATTTGAAATGCTCTGATCTAATTTTTGTAAACTCTTACTTTTTTATTTATGTAAATTATTAAAGGCTTTTATTAAATATGAATATGAGTTTTATATTTTATTTTATTCTAAGTTAAAGAGTTTCACCTTGTTAATATGAATAAAAGTTAAAATTTTCCTTATTTGTTATGAATCAATAGTTTGAAAAGTCAATGTGACACATTGGATTCGTATCCGAGTCGAGTATGAGTTAGGGGTGTTACATTTAATGGTATTAGAACCATGGTTTAATTGGTTTTAAGTTTGAAATAAAGTTGTTTTTGTTTTAAAAAGAGTACGTGCCAACTTTTCGTTAAGTCTTTATGATCTGATAAGGTTGTCAATATGTTACCCTTACTAATTAGATAGTTATTTGATCTCATTAGATGTCAAAATTTGAAGGCTCTCGAAATGAAGTGGGAGATATAAATGAAAGAAGTAGCAACTCACCTACCCCTAGTAGGCAGGGTGAGGAACAGGCACATCATGAGTGCCTGTACAAGATCAATGAACCTTCTTCCAGACGTTGGACGTGATTCTAACGCAATTCCAACCGTCGACTCCCTCAGCTCCTAAGATGAATGTGGCTAAAGAGCTTAGAAGTTTAGGAGTGCCTGAATTTAAAGTAGAAGCTGATGAAGATCCAGTTACTATCGATCTGTGGCTCAATGACCTTAAGATAATGTTGGAAAATCTCCATTGTTCTGAAATTGAGGTCAATCTAGAATTTGGTCGTTCTTCTTGGAAGAGTTTAAGAACAAATATATCAGGGATCAGTTCATTCGTCATATGAAGCAAGAATTCATGAGCTTAAAGCAAGGGAATCACACTGTATATGAGTTTGAGTGAAAATTCAACAAGCTGAGTAGATTTGCAGCGGAGTTGGTCCCTACGGAAAAAAACTCCTATGATTGGTTTGTAGAGGGTTTACGCCCTCGATTGAAAGAGATACTTTTGGCACTCAATCTCTTTTCATTCCAAGAGGTAGTGAACAGGGCCAAAGCCTTGGAGCGAGCTCAAAATGATAGGTTTGTGGAGAAAATGACACAATGAAATAAGAAAGATGGTGCCTCGTCCAGTGCCTCCCAATCAAAGAATAGTCGAGGTTCAAGTTTTCGACCTCAGACCAGATCGGAGTCAGTTGTATCCTCAGGTATAGGATCAAATCCTGGAAGAGGCAGACAAAATCAATTAGTGGAGTCAGGAGTAGATAAGTAAAATCAATGCCACCACTGTGGAAAATCTCATAGTGGCATGTGCAGAAGAGTCTACAGAGCTTGTTTTAAATGCGGAGAGGCAGAACACTTTATTCAAGAATATTCATTGATGACGGGAGACCCTACCCAAACAGAAAGATCCACTGTTGCACATGTAAGATATAGAGGTCAAGGTAGATGAAGGAATCAGTCTGAGTCGATCGCTCAACCTGAAGTGCGCTACACCGCTCAACCTGAAGTGCGCTACACCGCTCGAGTGTATAATTTAAAGACCAATGAAGATTGTGATGATCTTGAAATCATTGCAGGTACTTTTCAGATAGCTGGTAAATCTGTTTTAGTTCTGATTGATCCGAGATTGAATTTCTCTTATGTTAGTAGTAAATTGGTGAAAGACTTGAGAATTCCGTTAGAACCTATTCATAGCGAGGTGATCGTGACTAATCCATTAGAACATAGTGCTCAGGTGAGACAAATCTGTCGAGGGTGTCCTATATGGATTCATGGAATTGAATTCACTGCTAATCTAATTGAATTACCCTTTGACGAGTTCGAGGTAATCCTAGGAATGGATTGGCTCTATCATTATCACGCCAATGTGGATTGTCGACTTAAGCGAGTTATGTTAAAAAGTCTTAATGGATTGGAAATTAGTGTGGTCAGCGAAAGAATCAATCCTTTAGCTAATTTGATATTAATGATGTCGGCTCAGAAGTTAATGTTACAAGGATTCCAAGCTTATATCACCAATGTGATCGATACTAGAGTCAAAGAAAGAAAGTTTAAAGATATTTTGATAGTCAGAGAATTTCCAAAAGTATTTCTGGAAGAATTATCAGGATTACCTCCAGATAGGGAGGTTGAATTTCATATTGAAGTGATGTCAGGATTAGCACCGATTTCAATGACTCCTTATAGGATAGCCCCAAAATAACTGAAAGAGTTAAAGATTCAGTTACATGTGCTTTTAGATAAAGGATTTATCAAACCCAGTTTGTCACCTTGGGGTGCTCCAGTATTATTCCTAGAGAAGAAAGACGGTTCGATGTGCCTTTGTATTGATTATCGACAACTCAACAAGGTGACCATAAAGAACAAGTATCCTCTTACAATGATCGACGATTTATTTGAGAAACTCAAAGGAGTTGTAGTGTTTTCAAAATTTGATTTATGCTCAGGGTATCATTAGTTGAAGATTAAAGAAAAAGATGTTCCAAAAACAGCGTTTAGGACTCGGTATGGTCATTACGAATTTGTAGTAATGTCATTCGGGTTAACTAATGCACCTGCAATATTTATGGACCTGATAAACAGAGTTTTCCAACCATACCTTGATCAGTTCGTGGTCATTTTCATTGATGACATTTTAGTTTATTCGAAGTCAATAGAGTAATATAATGTTCATCTTCGTGTTATTCTTCAAACATTGCAATATAAGAAGCTTTATGTAAAGTTTTCTACGTGCGAGTTTTGGCTAAATGAAGTGGCATTCCTTGGATATGTGGTTTATGTAGAGGGAATTCAGGTGGATCCCCAAAAGATAAAAGTTATGCTATAGTGGGAAAATTCGAAGAGTATGTTAGAAGTTTGGAGTTTCTTGGGTTTCGTAGATTATTATCGAAGGTTTGTCAAGAACTTTTCGATGATATCTTTGCCTTTAACCAAATTGTTAAGAAAAGATTTATATTTTATTTGGACCCTTGAGTGTCAAAAGAGCTTTGAAGTATTGAAGAAAGTTTTGACATAAGCTCCGGTGTTAGTGCAATCGGAATCAAACAAGGATTTTACGATTTTTAGCAACGCTTCCCATAAGGGTTTGGGATATGTATTAATGCAAGTTAGAAAGGTAGTTGCTTATGCTTCAAGAAAACTTAAGCCCCATGAGAAGAACTATCCGATGCATGACCTTGAATTAGCGGTGGTTTTTGCATTGAAAAATTGGTGACACTATTTATATAGTGAACGTTGCTATATTTTCATTGATCACAAAATTTTGAAGTATTTGTTAAATCAAAAGGAACTTAATTTGAGACAAAGAAAATGGATTGAATTACTCAAGGGCTATGATGCAATTATATATTATTATCGCGGGAAAGCCAATGTAGTAGCTGATGCTCTTAGTCGGAAGACTTTTGCCTCTTTGTGTAGATTAGATGCTCAAATCGTGTTAAAGGACAATGGTGCCCTAATGGCTAAGTTAAAATTAAAATCGTTGTTGTTAGAGCGATTCAGAAGTTGCAAAAGAATGATGAAAAGTGTTTAATCTAGTTAGAGCAAATAGAAAATGGTGAAAACATGGATTTTGAAGTAAAATCTAATGGGTGTTTATACTTTAAAAACCGAGTTTGTGTTCCCAATGTTGATGAATTGAAAAGAGATATACTCTATGAAGCACATTGTAGTCCCTTAACTATGCACCCAAGAGGAAACGAGATGTATCAAGATTTTAAAGAGCATTTTTGGTGGCCAGGCATGAAAAGAGATATTACGGAGTTTGTATCAAAGTGTCTTAATTGTCAACAAGTAAAAGTTGAACACCAAGTGCCTTCGGGTTTATTATAACCAATTTTCATTCCTCAGTGGAAATGGGAAAGAGTTACGATGGATTTCGTAACAGGATTGCCCTTATCACCAACAAAAGGGATTTAATTTGGGTAATTGTGGATCGTCTCACAAAGACTGCGCATTTCATTCCTGTGCGAAAAAATTTCTCAATGGAAAAGCATGTTGAATTGTATATCAAGGAAATAGTGCGACTACATGGTGTTCCAATTTCAATAGTTTCTGATAGAGATCCCAAATTTACTTCGAGATTTTGGAAGTCTTTGCAATGAGCTTTAGGTACTCGATTAAATTTTAGCACTGCTTTTTATCCTCAAACCGATGGCCAATCAAAGCGAACGATTCAGATTCTGGAAGATATGTTGAGAGCGTGCGTGATCGATTTTGTTGGATCATGGGAAAAGTATTTGTCGCTTGCAGAATTTGCATATAATAATAGCTATCAATCAAGCATTAAAATGGCATCGTATGAAGCATTGTATGGAAGGAAGTGCAGGACGCCACTTAATTGGTATGAATTAAAAGATTGAGAAGTTCATGGCCCATACTTGATTAAAGAAGATGAAAAAAAAGTTCAAGTAATCCAGCACAATCTTAAAGTGGCACTAGACAGAAAAAAGTCATACGCGTATTTGAAGAGGAAATAAATTGAATTTCAAGAAGGTGACAAAGTGTTCCTAAAAGTATCACATTGGAATAAAGTACTTCGCTTTGGACGTAAAGGAAAACTTAGTCCTAGGTTCATTGGACCCTATGAAGTTCTGAAAAGAGTTAGACCAGTGGCGTATCAGTTAGCGTTGCCACCAGAGATGGAAAAGATCCACAATGTTTTTCATGTGTCTATGCTACGACGATATCGATAAGATCCTGCGCACATCATAACTCCAAATGAGATAGAAGTTCAATCGGACCTGACCTACGAGGAAGAATCGGTGCAAATTCTAGCGTATAAAATCAAGCAGCTTAGGAACAAAACGATTCCGCTAGTTAAGGTTCTATGGAGAAATCATAAAGTAGAAGAAGCTACTTGGGAGCGTGAAGAATATATGAGGAAACAATATCCCTACCTCTTCGTGCAATGAAAATTCGAGGATAAATTTTCTTAAGGGGGAGAATTGTAACACCTCAATCATCGGGTCAGTGACAAAAACGTAAGAATTCAAAATTTAGTGGTTTGATTAGAATAATTTGAAAGTTAAGGATTTAATTATGGAATTTTGTGTAGGATTTGATATTAAATTTGGATTAGTGGAGGGGCAGTATGATCTTTTCTCAATGAAAGATTTTTTTTGTCTCCTCCCTTAAGAGATAAGCATTTGGTAGAGAAGGGAAAGTCTTGAGCTTAAATTATCTTCCTTCTTCTTGCTCGAAATTTGTTGGTTCCTTCAATTTTTGGGTTGTGTTGAAAGCTTGGGGTGTTATATAAGCTTAAGGAAAGATTGTATAGGATTAAAACAACAAGAAGAGTGAATTAGAAATGAGTTTGTAAAATGGGTTTTGAGATGAATTATTGATATGGTATAGTTTTTGGAGTCTTATTGAAAAATTTGACTTGTGAGGGATCTAACTAAATAGTTAGGACGATAATAAATGATTAAGAACTTATTTGAAATTATGGTATGATTTTGAGATGTAAGAGTTCTAGTGAGAATTAGTATGTTTAGGAGCAATGAATGTAGAAAAGTTAGTTGTAATGTATGAAGTTGAGTTTAAAGGACTAAAGGGGGATAAAAGTAGGAGATTTAGGTAATTTTGGTTCAAAATGAAAATAGTAATTTTGGGTAAGGGTATCGGTACTGGAAGAACAATATCGATACTTCAAGTCTAAATCAATTAAAAATCGAGGATCAGTATCGATACTGATTGAAGAGGTACCGATACTGAAAGGAGAGTATTGATACCAAGAGTAGGTATCGATACCATTTTTCAAATTGAAATTCCAGCATGTCATAATGGTATCGGTATCGAATGGGTATCGATACCATAGAAGGGAAGTATTGGTAATGTAGGGGAGTACTGATACTATTAAGCATGAAATGAGAAATTAAGTGTTTCTTTCAGCTTAAGTTATTATGATTGGATATAATTGATTCGAATTCTAATATTTATTTTTTATTGTTTTGTGTAGACGTTGAACAAAATCAACTTCCGGTTAACTCGGCATTATAAGTTTCGATCAAAAGTGGTAAGGACTTCGTTTAAGACTTCAGTGAGGCAAATGTGAGTGCAACTTCTTGGTTTTGCATTAGAATTGAAGAATGCTTGCGATAAGCCAACCTAAGTGTTTTCGATCGAAAACTTTCCAATTTCTTTTATGTTATATTTTACAATGTTTTATTCAATTCATATTATGTAAGCTATGTTGATGATTATGTGTATATGATTATGAAAATGTGACATGTGAACATGTATATCCGAAAACACTCAATGTGAAAGTGCATAAGTGAATAAGAGATACTTCTAATAATGAATGACAAATAATTATATGGTTAAAAGCCTAAGGTATATGTATGAGGATTAGAGGTATAGTTGTCTTGCCAAGAGTCGAGGGTTCTATGTGGTCCTTCGGGACAATTATGTGGAACTTCGGTGCAAACCTATATGGTCCTTTGGGACAATTATGTGGCACTTCGGTGCAAATTATGCGAGTTGTGGTGACAGCATTAGTGCACAACCTTAATTTACTCAAATACCTAGAGTTCTCAGTAGTATAAGTTGTGCATTGAAAACAAAGTTATATAAAACGAATAATGTATAAAAGTATACATTCTTGTTATGGAAAATACTGTGCATTCGTTATGAAATGTTTCTATGAAATAAATAAAGATTTTGATTATATAACTTTAGTCGCTCGTAATTACCTCACTAAGTCATCGACTTAGCGTGTGATTGTTTCACATGTAGGTTTGAAGAAATCAGGAGAGAGAAGCTAGTCGAGGATATCATATTCCCTTGTAGATTAGATCAAGACAAATTTAATGTAGGTTTTGTGTAATTTTGTAAACTGTTGGCATGTACTATACGTTTAATTTCAAATGCTCTGATCTAATTTTTGTAAACTCTTACTTTTGTATTTATGTAAATTATTAAAGGCTTTTATTAAATATGAATGTGAGTTTTATATATTATTTTAAGTTAAAGAGTTTCACCTTGTTAATATGAATAAAAGTTAAAATTTTCCTTATTTGTTATGAATCAATGTTTTGAAAAGTTAATGTGACACCTCAGATTCGGATCAGGGTCAGGTACGGGTTAGAGGTCATACATTTGGTATCGATGCCACATGAACAATATCAATATTGTTTATGGCGTATTGATACTGTAAAAGCAATATTGGTTCTACTTACCCAGAAAATTGTTTTTGTTCAAATT